AAGGTTTCATCATTTTACTGTTGAAAAATCTTTATCTTCTGTCTTCTTAATTCTTGTTTTTTTTTTATTGTCCTACATCCTTAATAGTAGTTTTTCTTATATTCACTAACACTCAGTAAAACCTTTGCGTCCTTGTGGCTTTATTGCCTCTGATCTTCAAAAGTTTAAATGCAATGTCAATCGTTATCTTTTGTCTTTTTAATTCTTGTTCTTTTATTCTTCTCTTTCTTTCATAGTAGTTTTTCTCAAATTCTCTAACACTCAGTGACTCCTTGCATCCTAGTCGCTTTATTACCTTGCTTGGGGTGAAATGATTAAAAATGTACTATACATATTACAAGCTGTAGATACCAAATGTAAATATATAATATTATAATTTATTATTTTTATTTTAAGTTATTGGTTGGTATTTTTAAATAGTTTATTGTTCGATTCATGCATTAACAGATAGTTCAAAAACACATAAGGGCATTGCATACAGTCGACTATATTAGGAGCAATCATTTGTGACCACTCGATGATTGTGCGAATCTGGTAATAACTGCTTCTGCATCTAATTCATCTGACAGTTCCTTTTTAATGAATAACAACATATGATTCCAAATTCTAGTCAAACAGCGAATTTTTTAACCTTGTCTTTATGACCTTTAGTTTTGAAAATGTCCTCTCATATTGAACTAAAGTGTGCAGATGACTTTATAAAGTTTATATTCCTTTCTATTATAATACTGTCGTCTGTGTTCAAATTTTTGCTTCATGACGTCGAAAACGTATTTACAAATATTCCTACAAATGATATTATTGAAAGTATTATACAAAACATTTGTAACCAACAGTCTCTCACCTGCATATCTGAAAATCAAATCTAACAATCTATGAAAAGCAAAGCAATTATGTACCACACCTATCTGCTTCTGTGACAATCTTAAGAATATACGTGAAGATAATGAATCAAAGTGGAAGAGATATAAACGACGCGTTTCACCGAGGGCGTCTCCTAGTTTGTTTTTTTTTTCAGGTTGGAATGAAATGAAGACAAAATTACTATGTAAGGAAAAACGCGTTGATATCACTGTGGATTAGTAAGGACCATAAGTCAAATTACCTTATCGCATCCGGTGACAAAACCACTAAGACTGTGTGTCTGCTTGTTATATATATATATATATATATATATATATATATATATATATATATATATATATATATACATACATAATAAGTTAACATTGAAGTCAACACTCAGAGGCTACAGACTGTTTCATGCTAGACGCAATCATAAGGTCACATGCATTGTGGGTAGTCCATTCTAACGGTTATTTTGGCGGGAGTGGTTTGTTTATTCATTTGGATTAATTTTATTCTTATTTTATATATTTATTTATACTTTTAGGTTTTCGATATTTTTAGTTACGTAGTAAAACATTTTGTATATACCTGTGAATGTGTATACATATATGCATATCCACCCAGGCAGATACATAAATTAGAGCCTTTTTACGCATACTTGTACACACGTGTACATATATATACATGTTCACTTGGATATCCTTGTGTATATATATACGCACACCATACACAGCGTATACACATTTTGGAGACTATTTTTTTTCTCTCGTACATACTTGTGCTTCTCAATATAAATGTATATACAGACTGACGGTGTAGATATGAGATTTCCCCATTTCGTTTCTTTTCAAATTATTATACGTCCGATTGAAAAAATTATTATACGGTCCGTTTGGTTTGGTTTATTTTGTTTTACGGTATATCAACCACAATGGGTCATTTAATCCCGACAACATTTTTAGGATAGATTCGTATGAATAGAATATGTATTCTTTGGTTTAGATTGGTTTGGTTTATTTTGTTTTACGGTATATCAACATCAATGGGTCATGTAATGCCGGCAACATTTTTAGGATAGATTTGTATGAATAGAATATGTATTCTTTGGTTTGGTTTATTTTGTTTTACGGTATATCAACCTCAATGGGTCATTTAATGCCGGCAACATTTTTAGGATAGATTCGTATGAATAGAATATGTATTCTTTGGTTTAGATTGGTTTGGTTTATTTTGTTTTACGGTATATCAACCTCAATTGATTATTTAATGCCAGCAACATTTTTAGGATAGATTTGTATGAATAGAATATGTATTCTTTGGTTTAGATTGGTTTGGTTTATTTTGTTTTACGGTATATCAACCTCAATGGGTAATTTAATCCCGACAACATTTTTAGGATAAATTCGTATGAATAGAATATGTATTCTTTGGTTTAGATTGGTTTGGTTTATTTTGTTTTACGGTATATCAACCTCAATAGGTCATTTAATGCCGGCAACATTTTTAGGATAGATTTGTATGAATAGAATATGTATTCTTTGGTTTAGATTGGTTTGGTTTATTTTGTTTTACGGTATATAAAACCTCAATGGGTCATTTAATGCCGGCAACATTTTTAGGATAGATTTGTATGAATAGAATATGTATTCTT